AAATAAGAGTTTGCGCACTGGAACTTTCGTGTATGTTCGGGGACGAGTTGCACAGTAATGATGAGCTAACGCAACATTGAATGGAGTCAGAAGCGATATTTTTATGACAGTCAATATGTGATTTCGATGCCAGAGTGGATTCATTAATGGTTAAGGTGTCATCTGGATCAACCTTAGGGGGAACATCAGTTTCCGTGATGGTAGCGGACCAGATTGGTCATAAGTTGTTTGTCGTTAATACATATTCTACACTATCTTTGTAAAAAGGTTAAAGCTGGTTTCAGTATTATCGATCTGTAGCCATTACTAAGGGCTAATATATTCCTACTACAAATGAATTTTAGACGTGTTTCGTTTGAAAACTTAAAATTTATTGGACAGACTCCTTTCAGAGACCACTTTCGCAGCCTCACGCAAGAAACCTTCATTTACCAATGTAATTATATGAGGTCCATCGCAGCCATTTATCAATGTGGCAGTCATGGGTCACTGCGGACGAGATAGACAAAAGAGATAACTTTTCTGGTAACTTGAATGCTATAACATTGTAGGAGCAACATGTTGTATAAGATTCCCAGTGGATTGAGGTTATATATTTTTGTGTACCTGGAGTGGTGCAAAGATACATAGGAGAGTTTACTCACTCTAGAACTTGGTTAAGAGGTGCAAGCATTTCCTTCAAGTCCTTCAGCTGTTGTTCAAGCGCAGCAAGCATTTGAATGGCTTTAGGGGGCGATCCTGCATTAAGTACGCTACGTTCTATCAGAGAAGTCTTATGAGAACTATCTTTGGACTGATTTTCCACTCTTACGCGGTTGTGACTCACCACTAAATAAACTCACTGCCACTTGCTCCACTCTGGTGATGTATTGTATTCCAGCAACGTGATGTTAAAATTATGAATATAGTTTGGCTCCTGTTTGGAAACCGAACAAACGAAAGGCGTATGAACTGAACAATCAGTCACTGGCTCCCAATGGGCACGGTTCTCCGAATTCGCTCCGCTGCGTTGCGGGTGGACTATTCAGCCAGACGATAGGGGTGGTTTCTCCCAAGACAACAACTTACCACGACTTGAGAAACCGGGTAGTGTCGTGAACGCTGGCGAAACCATGGATTTCTCTGTGTCGTGTTCGGTTTTCTCGTTTTACGACAACTGTGCGTTTATTTTTATTTCCGTGTTTTTTGATAGCCCATGTCTATTCGTAGTCTGCTGCTATATACATATAATATATATATATATATATATTTCACGATTTCCCTCAGCTGCTGTTTGGTGGACGCGAACAAGTACTACATAGTTATCAAAAATTCGAACGGAACACTTACGCCCATTGATAGAACGGAGGCACCCGCAGGTCAGGTTGCTACAGTGTGTACGACTGTTTTGTAAGCCTTTCTACGGTACGCCATTAACATATGCATGTTGCGGATTAGGGTACCCCAAGGGTTCGTTGCATTCAGTAGTTTAATGGCGCGATACTATTCGCGAAGATACCTTTCGCCCCGAATTTACGCCATAATTGACTTGTGTCCATTAGTCTCTTCACTAACGTATTCATAACCAGCGACCGTCCACGGCATAACTCCGCAAAAATCTAGAAGGATGGAAGTGTGGAACATGCTGCAAACATGCTCGACCGCAAACGTTTGAAATGTAGAAACAGCGATAACACTGAGTGAAAAGCTTTGCAGAGATAACCGATGCGTGCAAAATTCAGTTAAATTCTAACACCGTGCGTAATGCCAGTAAAATAAGCTTTGCACGACTATTTTTGAAACGGTGTCAGATGGATAAGCGTCGCAGTGGTCTCTCCAGAAAGATAACTAGTAGGCTCTGACCAAAGCTCAGTGGTACCCAGGTAAAAAAAATTTAACTCCTTTTGCTGGCTTAGCAATTAAGCTCGTTTCTTTTGCCTTTGCAGAACAATAGCTTTTATGTATCCCGTCATGCTTTTTAAACTGTGCATGATCAGCTTGATAAAATAACACGGCGGTACCGTTTTCCGGTTCACTTATTCTATGATCACATCTATTTTACATCTGTATCAATGGCTTGGTTCAAATTCGAACGTATTGTAGTGGGGCCGCTTCCAAGAATGCCTCGGGGGAGCTCTTCGGAGCTAACTGAGAGCGGATCGAGAGGGACGGCTAGCGACGAGCCTGGGCCCCGAACTACGGAGCGGGAATATGTGGACAGCGCAATAAATCAGACATATACGCCACTAGCGCAGCCCACAGGACCGAAGCCGAGCCGATTGACACAGCCCAGAACAAGCAAGTCGAGAGCTCTCGAGCTACTCCTGGCCGATCCAAATCGGGTACAGAGAAGTAGAGATCGATGCGAAAACAGGAAGGCGGGTCTTCCAAGTCAGAGCTCCCGAGGCGAAAGGACTGGCTCGTCTCTAACATCCGTACCTGTGTTGCTTTGTGGGACGGAAATCTAGTCGATATTCGATGGCGCGCGTGAGACCCTCAGTCTGCCCATTTTCGGTGTGCAATAAACGTCTACCCCCCCTGTCGTGTCGTTCTCGCTACAGTATGAGCACGTAGTTTGTGTTCATTGACGTCACTAAAGTTCCCTTTTCTTCGAACACTAATGTGACACGTGCAATACGGGATTTCTAACTCTCTAACGACACTGCTATTTCATCTCGTTGTGTGCTTCACCACCTAACAGAGTGCGATTAAATAGTGCACGATTTGCCAACCCACCAAGTTGCAGGAGGCGTGGAAGTGGAACACTTCTGCTCTCTCGATTTTACTGGACAATGAGTCATGGTTCGAAGACGCTAGAGACCACGTTGGCATAAATGCGGGTCCATGACGCTCATGGAATCTTGGCTCGTTTTTGAGGAAACGTCTGTTCGTTTGTCTCTATTGTTCAGTCACTTGCGAAAGATGAAGGCCGACTGATAAAATATAACAGTCCTTCATCAAACGATTCTTTTGGTTCCTCAGAACGCAACCGTTTTGGACGCTGTAAATATAGGTGGCGCACGAAATGTCATACCATTTGTTTTGTTCATTACACATCTATTTATCATCAAAGGACTACAAAATTAATTCAGACTTGCTTTTGTGCGCATGGAAATTTAGTTTGATGTAGTATGTGTTCAAAGTGGTCACCATTGTGTTTTACCACCTCATGCAAGCTAACCATTATATTTTTCATCACTTTCTTGCAAAAGTCTTTCGAAATTACACGGCACAACTGCATGATGTGAGCGCTGAGCTGAGCTGTTCTTGCAGGCTACCTTGCAAAGACATCATTTTTCAAGTAGCCCCACACAAAGAAATCACATGGATAAATGTCAGGGCTATGTAGTGGCCACTGTCTCTTACCTTGTTGACGCTCAGGAAACCGATGTGACATTACCCGCCCATCATACAGGTAATCACGAACAATATTCGCAGGGTGTGGGTGGGCTCCGTCATGAATGAACCAGTTAGTTTTAATGGGAGATCTGTTGCCATAAGTTCTAGAATAAATCTGTTTTCCAACTTGTCCTTATCCTTATCTTTGTTTACCGTCTCATCAAACAAAACTAGTCCAATGATTCCATGTAGTAAGTGAGGAACTTCACTTGCCCAGAAACGAGCAGTTTGTTTTTTCACTACCCCACTTGAATGAAAATACGCCTCGTCAGTAAACCACATTTTGTACCTAACGTGATACTCTTGCACTAACCATGAAGCGAACTGATGTCTTCGTTGCTTGTTCTCTTCTGTTAATTTATGGACAAATGTTATCGTATAAGGGAACGTTTCAAGATCAGAATGCAGAATCATTTGTATGGACCGACGCGATATTCTTAACCCAGCAGCCGTCCTCCTTAATGATTTGCCAAAACTTCGTATCAAAGCAACGCGAACTGCTTCCATGTTTTCAGGGATGCGGACACTTGGTCTGCACCATCGATTGTTCTCCACCACAGAGCCAGTTGTTTCAAACTGACGATACAGTCTTCGTATAGTCTGTTTACATTGAGCCCATTTTATACGATAGTATACAGGAAAATTTGTTTGGATCACTACAAAAGGCCTCGTTTCTGCAAAAAGATTACAAGTTTCACCTTCTGTTCAGCACTCATTCTGCTATTATGCGTCAAGAAAATATGTTATACAAACCTCGTGACGTCTACCGGATTTTTCATAAACTAACTTATGCGAATACTAGTTTCCAACATTACGCCTATAATCTTATATTTGTAATGAACAAAACAAATCGTATGACATTTCGTGTGCCAGCCTGTAATTGTGGTTGGCTATCGCATCGTTGCTTAGAATAAGTCACCTTTTGTTTTGACTCGCAAAAGTTCTCAACATGAGTATGCTGTTACACCCACCGTAAAAACACTTGCTACTTGTTTGGACTAAAATCTATTTTATCAGGCTGCCAGAAACTTGCATCAGCACTTACCCTAGCTCTTCTTACGAACCTGCGCGCAAATGAAACTGATTACCAGTGAACAATATACTAATGGACAAATGTTCAAGCTTTCAGGTCTCTATAAACAGTATTTAGCATTATCACCGTATCAGCATTCTACAAAAGAAGTGGGAACATGTATCTGGCCGATCTTAGTGATGCACTGTCGCTGACACAACATATCTCCGTTATTGGACTAAATGTCCCCAATCATACTGATGCTATTGGCTAAACCATTCCCACTGCTTTAACCCTTTTGATGGTGTTCCCATAGCATACATAGCAGACCTAGCCATGGGTACAGATAACTCGAAGTTCTGTCTTACGTTCAGTTTACAGGTAATAAATGAGTTGAAACCGTTGCCATCAACTTTAATCTTCACTACTGTCTATATATACATCGTGACCAACTGTCCGGCAAACCTTCCATACTGTTCAAGGAGAAGTCAGAGCGTATTCGCACATTTACAAAGTCAGAGTGTTTCTGCTATCGTCTCCTTATTTTGACCCCCATTCGGTGGTTTTTTCAAAGCATAACTATTCTTTCTACATTTTCACATCTTTTTAGCTTTCTGACATTTGAGCCAAATTAACCGATCGCTTTGATTCACACTTCATAGCCCATCAAATGAAATTAACCAACTGATTTGTAAACCAGCTACTAGCCTTAAGCTTAGTGAAACTCATACTTTCTCTTTAACTTGGTTTAGCAGACATAATGGAAGGAGTTATAGCTGCATGGGTAAGGCACAGTTTCGCAACGCACCTTTCAGTTGGTTGGCATGCCTATATTAAACTCGTTTCCGCGATCCAAATGGAATTGGAGCGACCTGGTCTGTCATACACAAACTATGAGATAGTTTACGGAGTAAAGGTGAGAGAAATTACAATGCTAGGTCGCTTTCGTGTTGTTTCCTCCTTTATTGTTATCACTTCCTGAATTAGTGACCGTGTGCGCAATTAGACACGTTCATAAAATTTATAGTCGGTCCGCTGCTGGCTCAACGCAGGTTCAGAGTCATTCATAAACTCCTGAATCTCGGAAGTTGACGGCGTTCTTATCCATTGCTTTACGCGTTCCTTAGGGCAGTCGTGTTCGGACGATACATGCGCGCAATATGTGATGTGTTCCGTTTGTAATCGGGGCATTCTCTTTTATATGTGCTGGGTACTGACAGGTCGTTTCCAAAACTTGGATCCTTTGTTCTTTACTCTCAAGAGTTCCATGTAGATAACCCTGCTCCAAAATCGCGGTTTATGGTGGCTCCTTGGGTTCATTCCCTATCTCTCAATGCTCTTATTAGTATGACTCTTCTGCTGATTTGTTTGAAGATTGTGATCGAGGATATTTGTTCAACAGATTTCTCGCAGTGCGGTATATATTCTGAAAGCGAAAACAACAACAACACGAAAATTCCACTAAAATCGTATGTGCAATAATGGCACTCAGTTTCTGGGATAGCCTAGTCACTGGGGTGCACATGTAAGTCTCGCTTAACATTTTAACGCTACTGGGTACATTTTCCGATCACTGGACATGACTGGACATCAGCTTTTCATAATTACGTAAATGAAATCGCTGTATTCAAGGCAGACACTCAGTCTATCTGAAAAGCATGGTAAGAAGACGGAAGCAGGTAGAGGCACGCATTTCGTATTTCCAACACATTATCATTAATGATAACTGATTTGTATGTCTATAACTAACAGTAAGTGCCGCCGGATAAGCTATAGGTACGGAGCGAATGACGGAAGATGAGTTCAATACGCTGAAGACGACTAAATGCACGCTTCCTGCCACTCAGGAAAGTTATTACGCTGTTCAAGCCATTGTAATCAATCGGACTTGCTAGTCCATCCGAACAAGTAAGCTCAACCTATCCGATAACTCCCACCGGGTATGTTAATTCATTTCTGAATGCGGAACGAGTTATCTAAGCAGATCTGCTAAGACTGATTTTCGAATGAAGAAGCATGTGCCGACAAATTCAGCGTAAACCACCCATGACCACTACCCCAAACATTCGTATACACGAAAACCGCCGATTTCGCATTAGGCAGACAACTCCTCAGTCACCGAATAGATTTCAGCCCAAAGTGTAGATGTGTTACATCACCCTTGCTGACCGCACACTCATGCATCCTTGGTATTTCGGAGTTACTCTACCGCATTCTGCCGCACACCACTGAATATATACCATTTCGTCTTGAATTGACTAGCACCCGTTCGTGATGGCATTCTCTCGAGAACGCTGTCAGTGAATTATACATTTATTCATTACTGTGATATCTGGGCAGTGTTTCACCCATACCATCACGCATAAATTTGCATAATTTCTATCTTCTAACCCGGTTTTGGTCTCACTAGATAGGGTATTCTAACGGCGTTCGAACCAGTCCTTACTCGCTATAATCCACCACCATGTGACGGACCTACATAGCAATCAACTTTTTCCCCACGGTGAACCCCACGCAGCCTTTAGGTAACTCCGCCTTGCCATCCAACACTTTGTCCGAGGGGGAGATCAATATACCAATTCACGAAAACCCGTCTACCACACCTATGTGGGATTGCCCTACGGACGCACTGTTACAGCCGTACACAGCCGGTACGCCAGCAAAGACCCAAGGAGATGGCCTCACAATCACACCAAAGAGACGTGGGCCGTGTAATCTTGTCCTCAAAGTTGACATCTTGCGACGTATTTAGTCCATACTTACCCATTAGGACAGTAATCTATTGTGTGTAAACCCCAAGAAAAAGTTAAGCGATAACGTTTGGGTTCAGCTTGCTCCGATATAACCCGCAGCAATCGACATTCACAGAACTGAAGATTCCAATAGCGCGCATTGCTTATCCAATGAAAGATAAGTTTAAAGCTTCACAAGTAAACACTAGTTGCGGCCTAGCAGGCTGTGTTAAACATGTATGAATTGAAATAGAAGTTCTAACTGTTGTAAGAAATGTTCCATCCCAAACGTGTTCACCTTACTCTCAGTGAGCTAAAAAAACACTACAATACAACTTATTCCGTTTAGTACTGCGCTGAATTCACTGCTATTCCACTCGTCAGATATATAGCTGCGTTGGCGCAGAATTGCGACTGACTGACACAGATTGTAGAGCAAGCAGCGGCCGCAAGAGGCGTCCTAATGAACCAGACGAATGAGTTCCTGGAACTCGCTTCCTAAATGTGAAACTCTATTATAGGACAGAACAGCCAGACCGACAGTAAAATCGACGGTCCAGAGTTAGGCACCCCGATACTAGAGGCTGCTCCCAACGATGCATTGGTAGCACATATTTTATCAAATCCACGCATCACATCAAATACTGTTTCAAAGGTCGTGACTTTGAGTGCAGTTGCGTGCTAATCGTTTACTTGGGCGCTCGTGGTTTATTAACTGTGGCTCAGCGGCATTTTGTTGCACAGCTTTGGATCTATACTCATTCGTTGTACTTTTAACAGCTCCACCTTGTGATACCATTTTTCGAGCACACTCCAGTGCATTCTACATTTACCTGTAATCTAAATTCTGGGCAGTGCTTCGCCGATATCCAAGCTCCAAAAGTAGCGTACCTCCAACCATCCGAGACATCGTTTGGTCTCACTCAATAGACCATTTCAACGCCTTTCGAACGAACAGTCACTCGTGCAAATCCAACATTGTTTGGAGCAGCTACAGGTCTCATAGCAAATTCCACCAGCGCGATCCATAGGTCTTATCACGAAACTTTTCAATTGCACCCTCGCGCAACCTACGCCGCATTTACGCTGACACATCCGACTGGCACGACAGAGAAGACAGTCTGCAATCACACAGCTGCAACGTCAACACAGTGATCTTGCCATAGAAGGTGAGTCGTTCAAATGGTTCGTAACATTTGCTCAACAAACGCGATGCCCAGTGTGCAGCAGTCTAAAACCTATGTGGATCACGTTCCAAACTTGTTAAGGGGGCATTCCGTGCCGTGACTGTTAAAAGAGTTTTCATGCGAGATGCCTTCGAGCTAATCTAATCAGGCAGAGTTATTAAACAAATCAGATGCTCTATGGTGTTTGTGTGGAATGCACGCACATCTATCCCAATGAAAACGAGCGTGCTCCTATTATCTCAGGAGCACGACCAGCTAACAGCCAAGTTAGAGGAAATGGTGACCACCGAAATCACCACGGTTGGGGTAAGCATTACGGGCTGTGCAACCCAAGCCTCCGCAGTAAGTGCTGCTCTTATCCTGAAGAGAACAACTAGTAACACCGTAAGGAAAACGATCCCAAGAGCGCAGAAAAACAATTGCTGTTCCAATACCATATTTGGCTCACATTGGACTATTGCGGTTCCCAGTTCGATCGGAGTAACTACAAGTAAGGCTACTTCCAAACTCCCGACGGAGTGCTGGCTAGCCGAACAACCTACAGCTGGGTGCTTCGGATAAATCCCGTTCCAGCAAATGCTTCGGCGGCAGTGTTCCAGGATGTGGTGGGCTTTTGCCTGGCAAGCGTTCTCCCTATAAAATACCACAGATATCCGTATAACAACAATGTGACGTGGCGGATGTGACTCGATGCTAAATAAAGTCACTGCCTCTTCCTTTTTCGGGAGAATCATTCACACATCACGAACGTCATCCGATTCAAGGCGTTCCATTGATTTCACCCTTTGATGGCAAACCCAACGAACAAAAACACACACAGAGTCATATTTATCTAATCATACGACGTGGCTACTTCCAAATACAGACATAAACATACTTTTACATGTCAACAGACACATACATTCCTATGCTATTTGTCAAAATATGCTAATTTGTGCAATTGCCGATCATACGTGTCTGTATTACCATGACCACGCCCTTCATGGCGTGCCTCGCAATGACGAGAATAAACTATTTATTCATTTACTTATTTAAAATGAGCAAGCCGATACTAGTAAAGATAGGTTACATTTGCATCTAAGCAGAGCCGTCTTTTAAACTTAGCGTCACCCGCAAACGAAAAGGAAACTGAGGAGCGTAACGGAATTCTTCTGGTCCAAGCACCAGCGGTTTCCTGCGGTACATCTCTGAGTATTTCAATCACTGACCGCGACATCTCGAGAAGTGTAAAGAAACAACTACCTGTACTGAGCGTATGTGTTCCAATATCCCAGAATCAAAGTCGACATCAATAAGAGGCAGGCAGTCGGATGATCTCAACTAGGGAGACGTACTTAGTAACCTAATCGGAGTTGTACTGAAACCTGTATACGTAGTGCGTATTATGCGGCACTCCGACTCTAAGCATTATGGAGAGCCAAGACTTCTGCGTGTTGTGCTGAGCTATATCAATAAAATAGAATCAGTGCTGCTGTCGATAGGTACACTCAGAAATGAACACCGCTCCATCCGTATCTTCCCAAACATCACATGGGGCGAACGTTATCGAGTTAACCGCAAGTTAGAGGACTACCAGAAGGAAACTCAACAAGACACCTACTTCTTCACGGGGTTCTTGAAATCGAAGCATGTGATGAGCATGAATTAATAACACATTGTAAAGAACAATGGTGTTATATTAATCAAAAACTGCGTGAATGATTTGCTAGCAAAATCCGTGTCACATCTGTGTACCTCATCGAACTACAAAAGGAGTAGGCCGAGAGTGTTGAAGGTGATCCTACCGCCACAACATTTAGTAGCACAGCTGATAAATACAGGTACATGTTACGTTGCAAGCTACCATGCAAACTTCGGCTGAAGACAGTCGGCGATATGCCTACCAGAGCCACGTCACTCAACGAACCAAACGCGATGCGAGCTATAAAAGAACAATGTGCCAGTAGTGTATCTAATCCCATCGCGATGAGACTGAATCTTAACGTGCTGCGATGGTTTGTGTGCCTCTGTAATCACTGAGCTACGCTGGGTGGTGCTTTTTGCACCTTTAGAGGCCCTCATACGAGATTGGTCAATGGTTAGAGGCCAGCCAAACTCAGTCTCCTGGCCCCTTAGGTTAAGGGATGGAGTGAGAGTGGCTCCTTATCCCTTAAAACGGACTCTTGATTGTCCAGTGCCAAAATCCTGCTGCACTGCGGTAAGGTTTTGATCCAAAGGCTTTGGTTGAGAACTATAATCGTTCTCCTGTCTAAGCCTGGGCCTACGCAATACAATGCATTTTTCTTAAAACAGTTTCCTGGTGTTCTTACCGACGCAGAGGATAGTAAACGGTGCCCCATATGATGCATCGAGCAAGGTGGATAAGGGTTTGGATGCTCGTGCTCAAGCCCTCCCGCCTACTTATTCCTCCACTTGCGTTTTTCATCCTTAGTGCCCCTTTCCAACTTCACTTTTATCTCCCATTTTCAATTCCTCAATTATTGGTCCTCCACCACCTTGCTTGAATA